GGGGGGGTCTATCAGGTATTTGACGGGGTCTACCCACGCATGGCTTAGCTCTAGGGTAGGGGTGGGGATATAAGTCGCTCCGGCTAGTCTGAGTTCCGCCTAGCCTTGGGTAAGCTAGGGGAAGGACGGTGGGATGTGTCAGTGGGCGCTGGCGTACCTTGCTTAGGTAATCCTGCTGGGTAAACTCTCTGAATTGGGCCTGTAGAAGATTGCATGAGCCTGGCGTCCGAAGCTCCCGTACGGCACGGTTCGCCCACTTCAGCTTCCATCAGGGCTGGGAGGTTGGGCCAGCCATGGTGCTTGTCACTGCTGTCTGGTCCAAGTTGCCCTCGATGGTTCGTCCGCTTCCGCTTCCCGTACAGCATGGTCCAAGTCCGATTCCACTTTCATCAGGGCTGGGAGGTTGGCCAATTGGTCTGAGCTTTATGAGTGTTTTTTGGGAATGTACCTTGGGAAGCGGTGACAGGCCCTACCTGGGTCGGGAGGATCACGGATCTGAAACACAGAAGCGCGAAGCGCTGAACTAGACAAAGGGACTTGCAGCACAGAAGAAATCATGCTGGACGACTGGGAAAGCTCCGCAGCCAACAACAACTCCGGATATATTCGCGTGAGATATGCAGGCAGCGCACAGGGCGGGAAGGATACCAGGCTAAGAACTACTCAAGACTGGGAACCGAATATCTGCAGGGTACGCGAACCCGGACACGAAAAAGATCTGGGCTGAATTCAAAGTGGCTGACGCAATGGAGGCCACAGGGAAACGGGGTGCATATATGACAATATTGCAGACGACAGCAAAATGAAAAGTAAGGGACCAAAGTGGGACACTGAGACTCGAGTGAAAACCGGGAGTAGCCCGGGCCTCGCAGCAGAAAAAGAGGTATTTATTGGCAATCGGGGATAGCCCGAACTCAGTCTGGGCGGACACCGGAGTGGAAGGATTGTGTGATGTGTACGCATGCTGTAGTATGTGAACGCATTACTTGACGATGTAATTATGTTCCGTGAGATGTAAAGTTCCTAATTACATTGTTATTATTGAGTAATTCTCGTATTGAGCCGATAGAACGACCTTGCAGTCACGCTTGGGAACACTCTATCAGTGCCTCATAATCACGGATCGAGAGTGCTACGCGTGGTACGTGTAGAACGCTCGAGAAGTGAACATCGAGCGCCCTGTCATGCATATTTACACCATTCACGTTTATGTTTATGTTGGCTTATGGTGGTTTATGCCATTCGTAGAGTCATTGATTGATTAAATTTATGTTTCGACGGTACTAATTGTGGGAAGATATAACTACATCCGTGCGGTATACCCCACCTGGTACTGTGGTTTTGATTTGCTGCCATCGTCAGTGTGGAGCGCACGACTCAAGCTGTGAAGCTACCTAGAGTTGGAACGTGTGACTTCTTCTGAAGAACTGCGGTCCCTGACCTCGACGAGCGCATCAGAGGAAATGAAGACGTGATAAGGAGGCGCATGCAAGGACGAGCACGGGGTCATGGGAGGTGGTCTGGTTGCCGCAGATACTGGATGGAATACCCAGCAGGGATGCAAACCCCGTCGGTGACCATCGCATCAGTACCAGCGGCGACGACTCCCGCCACCGCACCACCAGCTCTGCCTGCACCACAGGCAATGCATCCGATGACTTATCCTCAAGCCATGCAGCCTTATCAGGCAGGGTACTACCCCCCACCACCCCCTTACGGATGGCAGGGGATGTGGAACCCTCCGAATGCTCCACGAGCTCCATCAGCGAACAAGTTTCCAGAGCCTGGACAACGTGCGTGGTTCACGAGGGAGCAGCGTGATGCTGAGTAAGGGAAGAAAAAGGAAGTGGGCGAGTCGAGTGGCGCGAGCGCCGCTCGATCCAATAAGAAGAATAAAGCCAAGAGCACAAGCGATATGGAGAGCAGTGAGGAGAGGATCAAATCATGGATCTCCAGTACATTCGGCTCGTCGTTAAGGAAGATCTCGGAGAAGATCGATGAGACAGAGAAGATAAAAAAACGGATTGAGGCGCTAGAGGACGAAGGAAAAGGGAAAAGTAAAAGATCGGGGAGCAGTGAAAAGAGAAAGCGAGCGGTAAACTCACCGGTGCTTAGTAGACAGAAATCAAGATCAAAACCAAGGAGCGGAGGAGTGAAGCTACGACAGCCGAGGATCCTGATCTCCTCTGATGACGATGAAAAGAGGGGGGGCAGCATATCTCACACCAAGGTCTTGTTGGAGAGGAGGAACGCTGGGGCTGAGTAAAGGGAGGTTGGTATGGAGTTAGGTTTTCTACAGATGGGCGACGTCAGCAAACATGGACCTGAGGCTGTGGAGCGCTACCGGGAGCGCTCCGCCCCCTGATGCTTTGATGCGACGGCTGGCTCCTCGATGAGGGTGGGAGTGAAAAGTGGTGGGGCGCCATGAAGGCAGCTTCGCGGCGTGGATATGAGGGCGGGGTGAGAGATCAGCAGGCGGATGACAAGGCGAGAAAGCGATCACGGGCTATGTTGCACGCCCGGTCGCGGCCGGGGCCAAAAACTCGGCCGCGGCCGCGGCCGTCGGCCGAATCGGCCGGGTTCAGCCACAGCCGACCAGCCGAGTTTGGTGCAGGAATTTTTTTCGCATAATTTCGCGCAGAAAGAAAAATAAAAACAATATGGGCGTGCAGGGCTAAAAAAGCCCTACACGCCCATATTCTTTTTTCCGCTGTCCGACGTTGCGGTTTGCGCGGAAAAAAAAA